TCTATTTTGGGCCAAGGGGATGAAACAACCCATGACATTTGAAAATAAGTGGCTCAGTGTGACTAGAATATGGATGCCAAGATGGGGGCATCAGCAAACAAGCTGGGAGAGAAAGGCAGAGACCATGTCATAAAGAGACAGTGATATACTGTTTTGCTCTATGAGGGGACGGTGGATTTTCTGTTGTAATATTTTAGCAGGTTGATTTAACTTTTTAGTCGAGGCTAGCCATTACCCCTGGGTTTATGTGGAGTTGGAGAGAGGGGGATGCAGTGAAAAGAAGAGGATATACAGAATGCAAACAACACATTGTCTCCACAAGAACGGGAAGAATTCATGGCAAGGGCATGGGTGCAGGAATCTAAGCCTCAAAGAGTCACAAGTCTGCGAGTAGCCAATCTGTAGGAGGCAAGGATGACCAGGGAGCCAGGCTCTGGGAATCCATTCTCAGCAATGAACGTGTCAGATCACGATTAGTCGATCATTTTGGCATGGATGTTAAGATACACTGCTGGGTGGTTGGACCAGGGGTAATGAGAGCTTTTCAGCTTCTGCCATATCTCAGAAGAGGTAACAGTAGCCTGGGAAGGAAGAGAAGGCAGCCTGAAATGACACACTGTCCACAGACTAGTTAGATTAAGACAGGTTAGGTGAGAGGAAACAGACAAAGGTGGTGATACAGAGACAGGAAGTATGAGTCCCAGATCAAAGTGTCCAGAGACCCAGGAGTTGGAAGCTGAGTTTTACAGAGGTTGAATTTAGTGCCCAATGGTTATCAGCCAGCCAGGAGACCTACAGCACAGAGGAGCTGAGGTGTTTTTCTAGACAAAGTCGTGACTGATCTCCTTTGGCTTTGGAAGTGGATGATACGGTTCTGAATCTGGTTTCTGTAAGTGACTTTATAAATCACCCCGAGCTCTACATGGGTGGCCTCAGATCCTGTCAGTCAGCTCACATGATCCTCCCAGAACACCAATGTCTGTCCTCCCCTGAGTGGGTGGTTTGGTACTATGGGTTGTCCTGGGGGTGAGAAGGAATTTGTTTTCTTTGTGGCAGGCTGCAGCGAGACAGAGCCTCCCTGAGGATATCTACTCTGCACGGGAAACAGCATGGAAACAGGCTTGTGAGGACTTGTAACTTGGAGGCTCCAAGGACAGAAGCAGCTTTCCGCCTTAGAGTCCCCCAGCTTCTCCTGAGTAAGATAATGTCGTGACAAGTCTACGGTGACAGAAAATAAGCAAAACGAGAAGTTTGCACTCAAAAATAAAGCAAAACTTGGTACGATGCCCCAAACTCATTTACAATAGTATAAACAAGACCCTCGGAGCCTCTCAGCACGGCCTGGTGGCCGACTGTATTGCACTGAGGCAGGCTTTTCACAGATAGAGCCTCTGTTATTTCGTGTCCAGCAGGCTGTGGTCAAGTCTAGCCAGCCCAGGTTCACCTAGAGGTGGGGTGAGGGAGGTGGGGACAGAAGAGGTGGAAGCAGGCAGAGAATGCCAATAAAACTGTCTCCGATGTACTGGGAGGAAGCCGTAAAAAGCAATGGACAAGGCATTGTTGTAACTCACATTCCAGGAATGTGACTCTCAAAGAGCCACGGAGACTGAGGGGAGCCACACTACCTGAAGACCGGGGGAGCGGGGTCCTCCCCACAGACAGGGACTGGCCCCTCCAAGTCATGTCCATCGGGCAGAAAGGAAGGAAGGAAACATCTTTATAGCTTCCTCGATCTCCCCCCACCCGCCCCTGTCACCACATACACTGTATTCTGAAATATAAATATTTAGGAAAAATAGACAAAAGTCTGCAAATAAGCAAAATAGGTACGTGCACCCAGAGAGAGAAGTGGGAAGTGGAGGGCTGGCTCTCAAGCTGAGCCGGAACAGGCCCTGTTTTATAAAGACTATTAAAGAACTCTGGGTAGCCTGGAGGGCTGAGGGTGGAGAACGGCCCTGAAACCCAGACAAGAGCCTTCATATTAGGAGAAGATTTTCTCGTCATTAGAGTCAGTGACGAGCTATTCCTTTGTGACAGCTGAAAATATATCCCCCGCCTCCCTCCCAACAAATCCTCTGCAACTCGCCCTGGGCCCTTCCAGGGTCTGCTTCTAAGCGGGCAGCGTGATCTCTTTCCCTGGGGCTCTTAAGAGCAGGGCAGGGAGGAACCAAAACTTACCTAATTAGCAGCAGGCCTATTGTCCTAATACAGTTACCATTCTAGGCAAAAGAAAAGCCTGGTTCCTTCCCAGGAAGTGTGTGAGGGTAAAGGCTCACACAGAGACAAGAAACTGGAAAAACATTCTAGCCACATTGATGATGGGAAGGCAGATCTGTGAGTGAAAATCTCTTGAAGGAACCTTAAAAATTTTATGCGATCTGGACAGATGCTCAAAGACTTGGGTGGACTATTTGATCCTGAAACAACAAGATGTGGAAATAAACAGAAATAGGGCTGAAAGCACAGATAGACACTCAGCAAAGTCCCCCTGGGTGGCGAGATGAGAGCACTTTTGTTTTTCCCCTGTGACTATCTGTCCTTTGTGGGACTTGATAATGACCACTGCGATGGAGTTGAAGTGAGCCAGGTGGACAAATGTGGTGCCTGCACAGGGTGGTGTGGGAGCTGCCGGGGCAGGCTGGTGGGATTGCAAGTGAGTGCAGGGGGCCAGCAGGAGATGGCTGCAGAGAGGCACCCCCATGGTTTCACCTTCCTGCAGTATTAGGAATCTCAGGTTTTCTAGAAGAAACTAGGGAGCTGGTGAAAGTGAGGCTGTTTCATCAACTTTGCATTACAGAGACAAAAAGCTACAAGTCATAGTTGTCCTTCCTTCATGGACAACTCAGCCCTGAGGGAAAGCAGATTTGAAAAGTATCATTCTGAAACTCTAAAGGCCTCCAGCGAGGCTTTCTTTACACAAGACCAAATCTGATTACAGTAGGTTACCAATGTGATTGGCCGTTTTAAGCGACAACTTGTACTATTTTATTTCCATCTTTTTCAGTGGAAGAATAGCCGGAACTTAGAGCTAACAGTGTACACAGTCATGGAAGAAGAAACAGCACTGCCCTCGCCCCAAGGCGCACCCATCTCCCCAGAAGCACACCTGCCCACCTCCGAGGCCATGGGCCTTGTTTATTAGATAAAATTATGACTCAAGCTTTAGAGAGAATGTTCTCCTTGCCTTTCCATGTCACAATCAATGTCAGTTCAAGTGATGTGAAGCAAATTGTCCATCTAGAAATACTGAATTTGGAAAGTAAAAACATTTATCACTGGTCCCGGAAGACGGCCTTGCTTTGTAAAATTTTGCTATTTAAACTGAGCAAGAGCGCATCAGGTCTTCTTTTTAAAAGTGCCCTGGAGAGACCAGGCAGCTTTTTGCGCTGGCTTCTCTGAAAGGGAGCAAGAGAGCTGGGGACGTGGGGGAGAAAACTGAAAAGCAGCGGAACACTAGCCAATGAGGCCTCCTCTACTTTTCACCTTAAGTATTTTCTCTCCCCCTTTCTCGGCTTTAGGTCCTTTGTTTGCTTAACAAACCATCCCAACCGCACCCAGTGCTGTGGGGAGGAATGTGCGCTCCCTCAGTAGCCGGCCCTGCCATCCACATGTGTGGTCCGTCCCACAGCCATCCACAGCCAGGCTCCCATGTCCGCCCTGCGCTGCTGTGCTGGAGGCCAGGCACCTTGCTGACAGCAAGCACGCCTGCTGCTCCTTCCCAGCAGCCTAGAGCCATGTCTCAGGTCCTTCTTCCCTTCCTTTTGTGCCATGACTGTGCTGTCCTTCCTGTCTGGACTTGTCCCGGGCAACTCTGGAGACAGACACTGCCTGGTACACCAGCCACCCCCTACCTGTGTTCAGCCCACAGCCGCCCCACCGAATCCTGGGCAGACACATTCCAGGATCTGACTGGTTATTGTGCCTAGTCATCTACTGTCACTCACATGGCAACATGGCGTCAAGATCCCCCCCACCCTCACCTAATTAACTGCCCGTGCCTTCCTTTCTCGGTGCCTAGTAGATCTGTTGGCCACGTTGGAAGGAATTGCAATTTCTTGGTCAATAAATCAAAACATGATTTAGTAAAATGGTATATTTCAAAGCAAACCAAAATAACAGTTGTAAAGTATATTTCACCGGAATTCCTAAAGCCCACTCATGCCATCTTATCTAATAATTTCCATTCGACAGTCCTATGAGACGGTAAAAGGCTTTTTGCTATCCCCATTTAAGAGATGAGGAAAATGAGGCTCTGAGGACTTAAGGTCCTGACCCACAAGCGCTGGCTAATGTGATCCTGCTGAGGATGTAGTTTGCTAAGCCAAACGCCTGGACCACAGTGAGCACCCAGAGTGTGGGGGTCCATGAATATCACTACTGACCATATCAGCGAGGATGACCAGGGACCAAACCCAGTTGTTCTTAGTTAAGCACAGTGTCTTTCCATTTACACCTTGCATCCTCCCAGCACCAGCGGCATACTTCACAAGTAGCCAGACTTCACAAGTAGCTCTTACTACCACATCTCCAAGTAACACCTCAGAGGGAGTCGCTGGATTGCCCAGGGCAACAGATATGTGATCAGCATCTTCCTCAGGCTTTGCCTCATCTCCCACGAAGGGGAGGGCAACCTTTTACACATCAATGTACATAGGTCAGGAGAGCAGCTAGGGCAGCTTGGAAGCTCTTGAACTGACAGGGTTATCCAAGAAAACTTATAGGCCTGCAGGTATTACGGAGGCTGTGGACAGAGGACAGCAGAGGACAGGAGAAGCTGCTAACTACCTCACCTGACAGATGACGCTTTCAAAAAAGAAAGGTGACAGAACTCTGTTCAGAGGTATTTTGCAGTTTGAAGGGGAAACGTGTTTATTCTCTGTAAGAACTTTTTAAAAGCATTGGACCTCCCGCATTCTTGACTAAATTTTGCTGTTTCCAGTAATGAATAATATGCCCTGACAAAAATAATTTTAACGAGCTACCATTACTTTTGTACCTACTCGGTGACAGGAAACAGCTGCAAGGCGCTCCTGGTCACAGAGTCCTCCCAGAAGTGTTCTTGAGGATTCAAATCTGTAAGAAAAGATCTTACATATCTTCAGTAAAGGAAACTAGAAAAACACCCCTCCCCAAAATATGTCATTAATTGAGCTTTGCTTCAAGAGCATACACACAATGTGTAGACATCTCCTAGCGCTTTCTCATGCATTATAGTGGACAATAAATTGATTTTAAACTTTAAAATCCTGTACATATTTCCTCAACAGACCCACCACCCATAATTTTAAAATGTCTCAGATATGTCATTTGACAAAAGTATTAAACACTTAGATAATCCGATATATTTAAAAGGTGCGATAAAAGTCATAATGTTGTAACTTAAAAGACTTTCAGTATCTCATACATTCTTGTCCAAGAGGATCTTTAAGTATTTATATCATATCCTTTGTCCTACTTGCAACTGGATTAGAAAAACCTTTAAGTTTTCCCCTGCTTTCTGCAAGTAGAAAAAAAAAAGAAACACATGAAATTGCTTACATAAAATATTCAAAATAGCATTGAGAGGAAATGGTATTTTTTTAAGCCAACAGTATTAGAGCACTACAATATAGGTATGCAAATCTATGCAATAACAGAACCTGAAACAAATTATGAATGGAAAAAAGTCAGCAATAGCCAGTGGGCATTCATTTTCAACAAAAGCATTCCATAAACCTATAGAATTATCAAATTTGCAGGGTGAAAAGTCTGGAATCTCCAAATTGAATACACAAATCAGTGGTTACCAAACCTGGCTATGCACCAGAATTACCAGGGAAATCTTTTAAAAATAGACTCCTAGGTCACAGTACAAACTATAATGACTGCAGCAGTCGCTGGGGCCCCTTTAATAATCACCGGGGAATTACATTTGGACCAAGTCTTCAGGAGCCGTCTGCAGCCAGCTTTGTACCACTGATCCCTGTGAGCATTTGGAAACCGGTATCTTTGTTCACCAATTAATGATAAAACTTGGCTTCTTCCAACTAAGACCATTCTAAACCAGTCAATCCTCTTAGGGGGAAAGCTTTTCAGGATTTTCTTAACCAGTCCAAAGGTGAATCTATTATGAAACAAAGCCAATTATATCTCACCTAAGCGATTTATTCACTTGGTTGACTGCTTTCTCCTCCTAATTTTTTTTTAAAAGGGGGGTGTGTGAATGGGAGGCTATGTCCATTTATTTTATATGAGATCTTTTTAAGTTAAAAACATAAAAATTAAGGCCATTTTTAAACAACTAATGTTTAAAAATAACCCATCAGAATTCAGAATAAAACTGGATAAGAGTAGGTTCTCTGAATCATTGGGAAAATTTGTTTTAAATGTATTCCTTGCTTTGCATGTATAAACAACTCACAAATCATCACAGTCCACCTTCTCAAAATATTCAACAATTAGCATGGTGGGTTCATGAACTAGTCTCCAATTCTGTTTCAAATTTTTTTTTTTTTAAGAGCTTTTAGAAAACATGAAAGCCAGAATAAAATTCTTCTGGATGATTCTTCCTTTGCTCCTACCCATCTCACCAATGGACAATCACAATTTATGAATTCAGGAGAGGCGGGGGCTGTCTTCTGCCTCACTAGAAAGGACACACATGATGTGAAGTACGCAACCAGGCAGTGGAGTAGCTGAGCTTCATTGTCAAAATATTCAAATTATCACCAAAAGAAAGCGATTCCTTTCTGATTTCAACAATACTCCTTGGCCTCCGAGGGCTCACAGGAGCTTATTCTTAAGCTGTTCAATGTAAGCAGCACTAGTGAAAGAGGAGAACTCTGGCAGGGAGGAGATCAAATCCCTCCGCCTTCCCCACCTGCCATCTCAGCACCAGCCTAACGTTTAAATAGTTAACAATGCAGCACAGAGCCTGAAAGCACGCATGGCCCCGGGGGAGAAAATCATGTGCACTGTACGACAATTTAATAAAGCAGAGAGAGACAGGAAGAATAGCACATCTAAGTTTGACGGGGTGCTACTGGCAGACTGCTTTTCAGGTCAGCATTTAGATTTCAGAATCAGAGAACAAGATTTTAATGTCAATTATTTGTGGGGAAAGGACCTTATTAAAAAAAATGAGCCCCTAACATTAAACATTCCTAAACATAGATGTTTCATAGATCCAGAGTAGCAAGAAAAATCTTTTTTTTTTTTTTTTTTTGAGGGGGGGTGCAGTAACAGATTTGCTTCAGTAAATTATTTTAAATAAACAGGAAAATGCTTTGGGGGAAATGATCTGTTTTTTCACTGACAACAAAAAGGAAAGTTTCACGAATCTAGAGTGTATGATTTCTAGGATGCATTTTTGCTGTCATCGTATGTTTTTCTGGGTATTTGCTTCTGAGAGCAGCATTTCAGAACCGTCCTTTTCTCTGTTAATGAACTGGTTTAGCTGCCTGCTGAGCATTCACTGAAACCTCAGCTGAACAAAGGCCATTTCCCTCCAGTTGCAGCTCATTCACTTCTAGTTACTCCTGATTTTGTGTAAGCGAAGTCTTTCAACTGACTTTTGCTGATGATTTGAGTGGGAAAGAAAGGGACCCAACCCCTGCACTGGTTTGAGCAAAAGGCTTCTCTACATGGAAGATGTGCAAGCCTCGCAAATGAAGTTTTCTTTAATTTTCTAAGGGCTGTAATTCTGGGTGGAAAGGAGCCCACCAATTTGGTAGATTACAGACCACTAAAGCTCACTGCAGTGAGGTGGATCACAGTGCACAGTGAGATTATAACCCTGAAGCGGGACTCTAACTTGAATGTCCATATTTGTCTCAAAACTGAATTGTTTTAAAGATGACACTGAGGGCTTGTTGCAAAAGGGTTGTTTGGAGTTTGCAGATTTGTGGGCCTGGCACCTGGCCTTGTACCTTCGCACATTATCCCTGGGGAAATCATTTACAACCCAAGGCTTCAACTACCCCTTGATGTCAGAAGTCACCCCATTCTCTGCCTTCAACCCTGAATTTTCTTTCAAACTCCAGACAAATCCATTTCCCTATGTCCTATACCTCTTAGCTTGGGTATCTCAGTGCCCCCAAAGATTACCTAAAGCTGGGGCCCCATGCAGCTCACCCTCTTGACTGACTCCTCTAACAGTGCCACTATGGATAAGCAACATCTGGATATGTCCTCTATCACCTCCAGCCATGCCCAAGGAGTTTGTCTTAGGACCTGGAGATTTCCATGCCACCTGCTAGGTGAGGGACTAGTCTGAGGAGCGCAGCTGTTTTAATCACTTTAGGCCCTCAAAACAACCATTGAGTAGGAAGCACTAACCCTATTTTCTTATGGGGAGACCAAGGCTGAGAAGTGAGGCTAATTTGCCGGTGGTCACACAACCAGCAAGCAGCTGAGCTAGAATTTGCATTCAGAGTGTGTGATTTGAAAGTCGGCGTTATTAATAGGTCAGTCTCTTCACCATGTCACTTCCCAGCTTCCCCCAAGTCAGAAACTCTGGAGTCATACTAGATTTTTCTCACTGACTAAGCTATACAGATTCTGCGAGCTTATTGTCTTTCAAATGTTTCCTTCTCTTTGTTTCCATAGTTACCAATGTTTGGGTGATGTTTTGCCTGCAGGATCAGTACAGCCTCCAAATCAGCCAGGACAATTCTGGGATTTTATTTTGTCGTCCCAATAGTTTTCCTTCCTAACTCACTTAAAACAGGTGGCAGGCTTTGTAATTCTGTGTTTTAGCCGAGAGCATTGCAGAAGCACTCTGCCATTGTTAACATCCACACTCAGTGAGATTTTGCCCAACTCCGGGAACTGAAGGAGAGGGTGGAAGAGAAAGGCACGCCTCCCCCCATCCTGATCTGCAAAGGAAAAAGAGCTGTTGACCCTCAGCTCAGCAATGGGGCACTTGTACAGCTCTGGTTCCCCAAGCAGCCTGTGCCCCAGTGAGGGCAGCTGCCCTGGGGATCTGCTCTGGGAGCGGGACCATAGGCAAGAAGATTGCAGGTGCCATGAGTCACCCTGGGGCAGTGAAATGCAGAGTTTTGAGAAATCACTACTACCACCAAAGGCCAGAGGCCAGACCCTCACCTACCAGGTCCCAGGGAAATCTCCAGATTCTAGGTGCACCCCATACATGAGATACCTAACAAAGTCCCTCTAGTTTGGCAGAATGGAGACTGAAACGTGAACAAAGATCTTTGTGTGAAAGAAAAAGCATTATTTGAAATTGTGGTGTGAGATTCAGACTTGTGAGGTGCCTCCAAGAGAGGCAGGGACCACAGGCCAGCGTGTGTCTATGCCACAGGCTGCATTCTAAGTTAGGATGAATCCACACTACTTTTCAAAAAGGGCCACCCCCTTTTTGCAGAGAGAATGCTTGGATTCTAAAGGCACTGGTGACCTGGTGGCAGTCCTGTGCTTTTAGAACTCCAGGCAGATAGAGAAGGAAGGAAGGAAACACACACAGATGTTAAAAGTTTACTCACAAGATTAATGCCTCTGATTCCTATGCAAATACCTAGAAAGGGAGAGGCAGAGAAAGTTATCTTTAAGACCTTTATCTTAAACTCTGAATTACTTGAAACCAAGAGAAAAAAAATGGAAGCCTACTCTACAAGCAGGGCCAGAGCTGATAATCCTGAGGCCCTGACGCCCCAGCTTCCCAAGCCTGGCAGTGCCTCCCAGACCAGCCTGCTGGGATAGGGACTGGAGCTGTTGGTTTCCATGAGATGGAAACGACAGTGCTGGAAACAGAGGTATCTGTGAAAGAGGAGACTCCCACCTCAAGAGATAGGAAATAAATTCTCAACATGAGGAATCTGTTGATTCAAAAGATACTGCAAGTTAGCGTAGGTCTCTGGCACGAAATGAAATGCCTAAGGGGCTCTGACTTTGAGGTCAGTCAAGTCTTCCAAGCAAGTTTCATTTTAGTTCTGTGGCTAAATAGCTGAGACCTTCCCTCCATGAGGCTTATGAAGGCCCTGCTGAAATCCATAGCTACTATGGCCACGGAACATGACAACCATGCATGGGAGGGTCCTTTCCAATCTATGGTATCCACAAACTTGGCGGGGTGGAGTGGAGTTGGTAAGGAGATAGCATGTTGGAGACTGGAAGACTAGGCCACTCTATCGGTCCAAATTCAGCTTTCATGGGGCTTCCTAAAAACCTACTACCAGTCCATGTGTATGTCAAGTTAGATCAGCATAATGTGACATTTCCACAGACTGGAGACAGAGGTCCACCCTGACTCCTCCGTCTGTTTTTAGACTGACTTCCCTTTAGTCTAATCACAATGCTGCTGTTAGAATGGTTCTTCTAACATGCAAATATGTTCCTGTCACTTGACTGTAGGGAATTCAATGGTCTCATTAATTTCTGTCAATTGCAACCAAGAGTCCTAATTAATCAGAACCATAGGAGGTTTTAATCATGAGAGCAATGTGCTCAGGTTTGTGTTATAGAAAGCATCCTCAGACATAGACTATGCTCCTGGCTTCATCCATTACACACATTAAAATCAGTAAAGTAGCAATTCCTTTGCTGGGGGTGGGAAGGGGTGCGGGATCAGTGGGAAGACCACAAAAACCAAAAGCACATATGCTACACAAAAATAAATGTAACTTCACAGAAAAGTTCTAGATCTTCCCAGAATCAGAACAAATAACACTCAACAGACTCTGAGTTAATATACGGAGTAGATGAGAAACACTACAAGGAAGTAACATAAAGCAACCATCATCTTAATGTGGTTCTAATTTACATGCTGATTGTGTGTGTCTGTTTTATGAATTACTTTTAATTCCTGTGCTCCAAAAAAGGGAAAAAATTACCTTGGTAAATGCCACATCATGGATCAATTTATTCCCCAAATAAAGTACCCTTTGTTATAGCACAAAATGCATATAACTTCCAGCATTATTTTTAAACATATTGATAGGGAAACATGATTTACTAATTTTAATAATATTTGACACTCTCCTGGATTATGATACCCAAGTCCCTTCCTCCCCCAACTGCCTTCATTTTAACTTCTGATTTATCCAGGAGTCAGGAAGTAAAGGAATTTTAGTAACATTTCTTAGATAAGAACTTTTCTTACCTAAAAGTGGTCAGATAATGCGTTTTGCTCGTCCTTATTCTGGTATGTGAGACGCATACTCTCCTTGTGCCAGGCTGTGCTCCAACAGTTCGTTAAAAACCATTAACCAAATGACAGAACTCTGGTAGGTCCAGTCAAAGGAAGCCGGTATGGTACAGTGAGGGGGTCTGAAGTCAGATGGGGCTGGGCCTGAACACTGGTTTTTGCCACTTGCCAGGTTTATAATCTTAGGCAAGTTCCCCAATTTTTCTTTATGCCAATATCCACCTACCATGCAGAGCTGTGAGGAGAATGTATACTATACATGCACATGTATCAAGTAGATATGACCTGTTATTAGTAAGTATCAAGAATGGTTTTACACTGGGTAAGTTCACAATTAAGAAACATTAATAACTTGTTTCAGAATACAATATATATATGTGTGTGTCTAGATATGTAACAGAAAATATAAATTGATTCACTTCAGTAATCTTTCTTTAATTTGGATCATTATGATACAATTCCATTTCCTAACATGTGCTTGTAAAGGAAATTTCTATTATTTCCTGCATGCTTCAAAGTTTTTGTATGTTATGTGTTTGAAAGATACATAAATTCTTAAGCAGTGCAATAGTATTTTTTGTACTTTTATAACATGTCACATTTAAAAAGAGAAAACTATTACAAATGGGCCTGGCATGAATAGGTCTTTTAGGTATCACAAATGATATACAGATGTGATTATGGCATATTTAGATTTCACTAGATTTTTCCTTTCGACTGTATTGGTGGGGGAAGTGAACTAGTTTCAGCTAGCACCATTTTGAGAATTTGAATTTAAACATACACATCTAGTGCACTCTTCACTTTGCCCTTCTACCAGGGGCAACTGTGAGTAGCCTCGTGAGAAAAATAAATTAGGAAGTGGTTTATCTACTGAGAAGTTTAGGGGAAAAAATTTCAAGTATTATATGGAATATAAAAAAAGTTAAAAAGAAGATTGGAATAAAAAAAATATGGCATATAACAGTCAAGGGCATTTTACCAAAAAATGCAGAGGCCAAGAGATATGGTTAAACAACACCGTTAGCATGAACACCATGGGATGGGAGAGTCACTTGAAGGTGAAGACAACAGTGGACTTGATTAAACAGAGAGTTCATATATATTATGGGGAAAACAACCGAAACATTGGCTATGAAATACAAGGCTGGAGTTAGGAATTACTATTTTGAAATAAGCAGTTTAAACAAATCATGTCCACATGTATGGTGGAGAATGATAATGAAAACTTCTGATAAGTATGGGGGTGCTCTGCCGACCACAAATTCCCTCAGACACTGACTTTAGGAGCATACCTATTTCATAACATAAGGAAGTTTGGGCAGAACCCATAAAAAGTGAGAATCATTTTATTTCAGGAGCATGGCTTGGAGACATATACTACACCGTAATATATGTTATATTAAAATATGATTCTAAATGGAGGCTAACACTCCAAATTTTCCCCTGCTATTTTTCTTTTGAAAATGTTAAGAGAGGAAAATCACAGTTTTTGTGAAGCAAGTCAGCACACCCCTTTATTTCTAAATAAATAAGAGTAGATATCAAAGGTAGTGCGCAGCACGTTCTTGTGATTTTTCTAAAGCGGGAAGAATGGGCCTTTTCCCTCAAGGTCTGAAGTTCTTCAAATGCAAAGTCTCCAACAGCAAGAGTTCTCTGAACACAAGCCCCTCGCCCAGGTAGAAGCCAGGGCTGTGGTGTATGCTTTAACACAGGAAAGACGAGAACACAGATCCCACTGGCCAGAGACAGCACACTGGGCAGAAGTTAGAGGCTTCGGCAGAGACACACTTACCTTTCTAGGCTTGAGGCACAGAGGCGTTTTAGATGTGACATGAAACAGAGGCCACATCAGACATGAGAACAATCCTAAGGGGAAAAAAGTCAAGTTTTAAAAACAAGAAGGCACTGAGAAAAACCACAATGGTACTGCGTGAGTTGACATTTATATACACAACATGAGTTCAGGAATGCCAGGATGCAAACCCTCACGGCACGCCACAGCACCATATCCTGGCATTCCAGAGGCATGCCTTTATGTTCTCACGGAGATGGAGTGTTAGAAAAGCAACAATGGTGGCCTCCCCGGTGGTGCAGGGGTTAAATTTAGTCTTAGCACTATCAAGCTATCAGCAGCCACTGCAGCACGAGTTTGATCCCCGGCCAGGGAGCTAACCCACATGGTGCAGCAGACCTCTCCTGGCTCTCCCGCTGTTCCCCTCAGCAGTGGATTTCAGTAGATCCACCTGTTCTGTTCCCCACTCTGTCTCTGGTGAATTCTCTCATCCCCCCACACCTCTGGCCTGTACCCCAGTTCTTGCATGCATAATTTTTTTTTAAAGAAAGGGAACAGTGAAGTTGGTGGGTGCAGGAGCTGTGGTGCCAGGATGCCAACATTCAAATTCAGGTGCCTCCTGGAAGCCCCACTTAGAAACCTCACACAATTGTTGAATATCTGAGCTTTCTCTCCTGTAAAATGGAAATGATCAATTCTAGCTGCAGCCAAGAGCCTTCCAAGGATTAACGAGTTCCTCTGAGTACAGCGCCTAATTCTGAGCCCAGTAAGCAAGAAACATTCAGGTAAATGCAATTATTTCCCAGTGACCCCAACTCAAAAAACCCTCACAGCCTCAGGCAGAAACTACAATCTCTTAAACGTGTAAACTAAGAACACAGTCCTCTGGGAAAAGGAAATGCCTGAGTCCTCTGAGGGTAAAAACAGGGAGGATGGAGGATTGTAAGGAGCAAAGAAAGGTCACCAAAAGGCAACAAAACAACAACAACAAAACAACGACAAACCCCAAACAGAAACACCTTTACTTAACACCAAGGTTTTTTTTCCCAAAGATAAGGCTGTAACAAAAAGTAGAGCAGCCTGGCGAGCAGAATTTGTTGACAGTAAGCTGCCCAGTGAAGGGGTCACTTTAAGTCATTCTACATTTCAGAGCAGTCTTTACTATAGTCAGTCTAGTGCGTAAGGAGGATGTCTCCTCTCGCTTGCTAGATAAGACTTTATTAGCGCTGCTGTATTTGGTCAGTTTGGGTGGACAGGAAACTCTCTGAAAGGGAGGTATGTGGTATCTTTCTACTAGGAAGTTTGCTTGTGTAGATAAACACACACATACACAATACAGAGACCTAATATATGTCGATCCCCAAGCCTATTTTGAGGATTTGACTCTCAAATTACTTGAAATTATTCCTAGCCATTACGGCAGGCTTCAGAGAAAAGGCACTTTGATGGGGATTATGTCGGCGAACTTACTTGATTCTATAAGCACAGCAAGAACCCAAGTTTTAACAGTCACTTCCTTGGGCAGTTGAAGTTCTTTCTATCAATAAGGACAAAGACATGCCTCATGGCTGAAAGCTGAACTATCTAGTGGAAAACTGTGGTTTGATTTGTATTTTCCTTCCATCCCCTTCCCTCCCTACTTTGGTATGATTTCACATGAAATTACTTCCAGAAACACAGAGGACTGAGCAGCCAAGTGAGAGGGCCTAAGTGCTGTGCTTACTGCTTTATTATCTACAAGTTAATACTAATGGGGGTGAGAGTTTATCAATGATCAAGGCCACGACAATGTTCTGTTTCCCAAGAAATCTCTAATCTCCGCAGAATCACAGGCTGGTCACTCTACCACATCTATAGGGTCCATGTGACCACCCATTTCTCTACAAGATTCCTACTACAACTCAAAGATGTAGACCTGTGTTTTCAACTTCATCTCTACCTCTAATCAAGACAGAAATACGAACAGAATTCTTTCAGAGCCATCCTGGTGATAAAGACAATGTGGAGAGTAAAATATTAGCTAGTTCCTATACTTGTGTGCTTGCTTATCTTCCTCTCCATTTCCTAAAAATTTCCATTATGATATTTTAAAATTTATTTTTATTGAGGTAACATTGCTCTACAATCCCTTACTTGATTCGGAGGTACAGGATCACACCTCTCCAGGCATATGTTACCACACCACACACACCCGCCACCCAGGCACCCTAGCCTTCAACCACAATCCACTGGTCACCCACCACACTTTGCTCTCCACCCTCCTCCTCCCCCTCTGGCAACCTCAATTCTACAAACACATTTCAGGGTTTGTTACTAGTTTGGGTTTATCTGACCCTTTGTTTCTCCATATTTCACATGTAAGTGAAACCATCCAGTATTTGTCTTTCTCCCTCTGATTGACTTCATTTAGCATAACCCCGTCCATGGAGAGAAATGCATATTGTTGCAATTCATTATGATTTTAAAATGTTATTTTTCCAAAGAATGTTGACAACTATTCTCTACATAAAAATTCGGTTTAAAAAGAAAGAGATTTTAACTTGAGAATGGCTCAGAAATTGAACCTATCCTAGGTAAGTTCCTGTGAAATCACAGTGCAAGATTTTTTAGCATGAGAATTTCCCTTACACTTCTCACTTCTTAGCAGTAAAGGTGGTCATTTACTTCACTTGAGAAGGGATTCAAGACACAGTGGTGGTAAATCTGGTGAAAGAAGTTGTCAAAGGATGTTTTGTTTAACATCAAAGACATAATTGTGTAAAATGGAAGCTCTGTCCATCTCAATCACAAAATCTAGTCAAGTGACTATCTACAAAATTTCAAATTAAAAACACTTTCATTTTGCTGAAACTATCTCAACAATATGCTGAGATTTTTAGGAAAAATTCAGAGGAGAGAGTTTATATTTGAAAAGGAAAATGCCATATACCTTTCATGTCTATTGTTCAGAAGCACAAAACTGGGCAAATAAAAAAAGTGTTAAATATTTCTCCACAAGATAAATATTTTACAAAGCAATAGTACCAATCAGGTAATAATAGATCAATCAGGTTTTCCTAAAATGTAGAATTTGCAGTAGAAGACTGGATAAGTAATTGCATTCAAAGTAATGTACAGGGAGCTATCAATCCCCATTCATTTAGCAGCGAGCCAAGAGCTTTGCTAGGCTTGGAGATATAAAAATGAATACGACACAGCTGCTTTACTTCCAGCTAAAAGAATACACCTAAACAAAGAGCTACAGGGCAATGTGTTAAGTGCTATAATAGAGGTGTGCACAAAGGGCTGGGGGCCAAAGGAAGAAGCCATAAATTCTTCCTGGGAAATCAAGCAAGTGAGGAGAGATGTAAAAAAAGGTACGCTGATGTTTCATTGGGAAACTCAAGTCTTTCCTTATGGTGTTCTAAAAAGCCAGGCCAGTAATTTTAGGATTTATGAACTATTCTAATTACAAATGCCATAGTGGCCTATTAGGCAGTTTCATTTATGTTTGACACACACTGCCAGCTATAATATTCCAAGTTTAAAAAAAAATAAACATGTTATCATAATAGTCCCACATGACACACACAATCCAGAACAGCGGGACTAGCTAGCATGAGTGAAATTCAGCTACAAAATCCAAAGATGTTTTGAAACATCAGTGGATGAAAGATACATTCTAGAAACTAGGTTATATTAATAATGCTTATTTTATCCCTTTTTTCTGCTGAAAGAAAAACAGAAGAATCACCTGATTATCTCATGGTTAATATTTGTCTTTCTCTACTTCTCTGTTTAAAAAAGAAGGGTGTTGAATCAACTTCTACTTAACATCATTTATTATGCATACCATATTCCTACTTATAACATAGTTGTGACAGAACCTCCATTGTTCATTACACACTAGCCCCAAACTCGAGTAATTCTAATGTAAGCATGAGAAACCACCGTCTCCTTTGGGGTGAATTTCCAAATTCCTCTGTGTTAAATTGAGGTCTAATTTTCCCTGTGCCTGGTTTTCACAAGAAGGTCCATTCCACCCCATGTGCTCCTTTTCAGCTGTCAATAAACAGAGGCAGTGAATTCCCCCACGGCTTCACAAAGCTAGTTAGGCAGAGCCATTCATTCCTTCAGGAAAACAGGGCATTGATTTCAGCAAGTTCCCAGGGAGCAGCTGTAACAAAGAGATCAAAGGCCCACCTCTCTTTCCCTCCACTGCTTTCATCAGGCCAGGCCCAGACAAACAGCGACAGGTCTCCTTGAGAGGAGGAGAGGGCCCGGCAGACCACCTCATGGTTCAATTCAAATTCATCCGTTTCCTACATTCCAGTGACAGTCCAGAATGCTAACCATGACAAACCAGCACAATCCCCCAGCATAATATACTGCTCGCTAGTTCATCCAAGGTCAGAGGGAGAAAACCAGCACTGAGGGTAGCCCTGCGCGTCGAGGGCCTGTGGAGCATCAATGGCCCCCTGACATTCCATAAATAAACTTCTGCTCACTCTCCCTTTTTCCATCCTGCAATCCCACAAGGGACGGTCTCAGTCAGTCTGAGATTTTTTTTTTATGTCACTGTACCCAAACTCCTTGGACACGTTATTCTCGATGCAATACTTGTAATGATGAGAGGGGTAACGCTGAGTGATGCCCTCGGAGTTCACCCCCATCTGAGGAGCTGAGAGAATCAGCCATTCTCAGGGCTTCCCTCAGGGCTGAGCTCCAGTGAAGGCCACAGGACTAAAGAGAGTGTCAGTTTGTGTAAATTCTGTTTGCAAAACAAAAATGTGAACAGAGATAGAACAGTTGGCTTTTTGGTTTGAGCTAGGTAATCAGGGAAACTGGCAATTCAAGCTGCTCAGTGACAGGCTGTGTGAATGAGCTGTGTCTCTGTGTGTGTGTGTGTGTGTGTGTGTGTGTGTGTGCGCGCGCGCGCGTGTAAGTGAGAACAGGGACCCTGGAGGATTTAGGAAAGAAAATGGATTATCCTGATTGGCTACCTACACTGAACAGATGTAATTAAAAGGCCTCCAAACTCTCCTTTGAATTCTGAGCTGCTTCTTGACACCACCTCCGTGAAAGCTTGTAACAA